AAAGGCAGTTTTCCTTCAGACTACTCAGCCTCAGGCTCACTGAACACTGCCCGCTCTCAGGCCCCCACCCCACCCATGCCCTTACAAAGCCAGCCAACTTGGTCCCAGCATGCAGCAGCAAGAGCAGCAGCGAAGGGGATTCAGAGGAAGGCAGCAGCCAGGCGCAAGAACTGGAGGAGGTGCCATGGAGGCCATCCGGGATGTGGGAGGGACCGCAGCCCCTGAGCTTCGGCGCTCCCTTCGGCAAGCAGCGCAAGTCCACCGGGCCATGTTCCCCTCCCGGTCTGCGCTGATTTCACTGGTAGCTGGGTGAGGGGGGCAAAGAGGCAGGCTGAACGAATGCGCCTCGAGGACTCAGCAGTAAGGGAGAGCCCAGGCAAGCATGCTTCCTACCTTTGTGTGTGCGCGCAGGAAACCAGGAAAGCCAGACTCCACGTGCAGCCCGGCAGAACTAAGGGCTGCTGGGAGCTGAGGGTGGGGCTTCACTTCCAGGAGGAAGCAAGCCCCTGCCCTAACTTTCCTCCTTTCCTCCCTCCCTCCCGGTCCCAACCCAGCTGCTGAACATAGTTTCAGAATGGGGTGGGGGGAGCAAGGGTGGCTGGAACCAGTTGCCCCCGGGGGAGGCTGAGCATCTTCCTGAAAATTCCTCCTTTCCTCCCTCCCTCCCGGTCCCAACCCAGCCGCTGAACATAGTTTCAGAATGGGGTGGGGGGAGCAAGGGTGGCTGGAACCAGTTGCCCCCGGGGGAGGCTGAGCATCTTCCTGAAAATTTCAGGGAAGGCTGACGCCCCGACGCCCTCACGAACTTTACGCCTATGTGGCTGGCACATTACCAAGAATAGAGGAAGTGGCTAGAATTGGGGTCAGGAAGCAATGTTTCTCTAGGCCAGTTTGGCTGGAGATCCTGGAGGTTTTTTGTCATCTTCTGGGCATGGAACCGGGGACACTGGGCATGTGGGAGGGGGAGATATTTGTGAATTTCCTGCATTGTGCAGGGGGCTGGACTAGATGACCCTGGAGGTCCCTTCCAACTCTATGACTCTATAATTCTTTGAATTTGCTACCAGGGTGGCCAAGTATAGTAGCTATCCCTTTAATTGGCTGTACCCACTTTTCCATTTCTGGCTATGATTTGCTGCCACTATTTAATTTAGTGATTCTCAACCTCCCACCCCTTCCTTTCAGCTTTGTATACCGCACCTGATTCCTGCAAAGGGCGATGTAATGAAAAATACAACCGTGAAGACGTCTGTCATTGTAATACTAAATGTGAAAAGTATCAGAACTGCTGTGACGACTTCCATGTGCATTGTGGACAGGGTGAGTGGTCTTCCCAAATGGTGGTGGTGGTGATGATGATAATAATAATGAGGATGATGTGCAACTGAACTGCTTGAGATATTGCTAGTCATTCCATACTGTAAAGAAGAAGTCTTGCTATTGCATCATTTTTCTCGGTTGAGAAATGCCCAACAGTGTGTGCAATAGCCAGACTGGCAATGGGCATGTGGTGAAAAGGTGTGTTTGATAAGCAACGTGGTTATGATCCAACCCTGTGGATGATATGATAACCCATTTGCAACAAAGCCCCGGTTCAGCTGCTACGATTTTGGCAATCCAAGTGTGCGTATGGGGAGATCACAGTATGCAAGATCCTCTTGATGCAAATGGTCATCATTTTGCATGTACGAGGCAGTATGTATTTTCCAGCTTTGGTACATATAGCTGGAAACCTGGATTTCTGAGGCTATGTTTTCACGCAAACCCAAGCACGTCGCCCTATTCATACGAAATGACAACCATAAGGCTATATGATATTTTTAAAAATGGAAAGTCAAACTGTATAATGGAAATACAGAAAGGGTTACATAACATAATGATATATATCAAAGATTATTATATATAACAAAGTATAAAAGACAGAAAATATTTCTCCCCAATGCCCCTTTCATTACACTAAAAAGTTTTTGGGACTTTGTCTATAACGTACAATGACATTTAATTCTGATGGGGTACATTTATATTCATCATTTTACATTTCAAATGTCATAACTAATCTGGTTTGCAGATTACATTATTAGTTTCATCAATGAGTATTACATGTTTTCACTTCACGCTATTACTTTTAGGTAATATAGCAAAAATACAGAAGGGAAAGTCTATTATATATCTCAGAATAAGAAATGCATGGCTTATATGTATTAACATGTCCCATCTTTTCTTTTCAATACAGATAGCAAAGAAAAGGAACCAGCGTCTGAGGGTGAGTATTTGCAACACCATCCACATGAGATGTCTGACATGGAAACAGAAACAATACATCAATAGGTATTTTTATATGCCTGAATGCCTTTTAGGAGGGCCGTCAAATTCCTGGATGTAGAGAGGCCTTTTGGTTTTGCTAGGCAGAAGCCTTAGTATCTTAACACAGGGGTCCCCAACTTTTTTGAACCTGTGGACACATTTGGAATTCTGGAACAGCATGGTTGGTGCAACAAAATGGCTGCCACAAAATGGCTGTCGCTGGAGGCGAAGCCAGCCACAAAATGATTGCCACAGCTTAGCCTCAACCACACGGGGTAGACCCTTGTGCTGTGGTGGCAGCTGCTGCCAAAGCAGCATTTCTTTTAAAAAAATCTGCACAACCAATCAAATCTCCAGTGGCCAATCAGCCCTAGCTGGTCCCACCCACTTCCTAAAAACACTGAAAAGAAAAGGCATCAGCAGGTGCCATGGTGCTCGCAATCACCTTGCTGGGGACCCCTATCTTAGCCGAAAGAGACCCACAGCGTCTAAATAATAGATACCTCTGAAGACGTTCTGCAAAACCACCGATTGCACCTAACCGATTTTCCCCTCAGTATGTTTGCAAACTGCAGGGAGCCAGTATGTCATGTATTAATGTACTGATACCCCTGCTTTCCTTGCTAATGGAGACCCTAAAGCACCATTCGAAAATATTCTTCCCTCCTCTATTTTAATCATCATAATAATCCTGTGAGTGGGTTAGGCTGAGAGAACGACTGGTCCGATGTCATCCAGTGAGCTTCCATGGCACAACCCAAGTCTCTCAGGTCCTAGTCCAACCATTATACCACACTGGCCCAATGATTCCTAATAGACCATCCTGATTTCAGGCCCCTGCCACACGGTGGGAAATTGATGCGGGCAAAGTACGGCTTTTGAAAGCCGCACCAAAAGAGACACGCGGCGGCGGGATCACACAGATCCGTGAGCCGCTGCGCAGTTGCTCCCCGGCACGATCAGATGCCGGGGAGAAAGCCACGGAAGGGAGCGCGAGGCCGCCGGCTGCGCATGTGTGTGCATGCGCAGTTCGGCTGGGAGCCTCGATTGCTCCTGCAGATGGACGTGCCGGCGGTCTGACGGCCGCGCTTGCTGCGGCGTTTTAGGTAAGTCCTGCTCTTTAGCAGGTTCTTTTTTGCTGCGCATTTTCAGCCTGAAGGGCCAGATCAGGGACGGGTGCGCGCC